TTTTTCCTAGCTAAATTTAAAACGTTTCTTTACTTACAAGGATTTTCATTTTTTTTTAGACAACTCAAAAGTTAAATTTATTGGAGTTTGCTTATAAGTTAATGTATACTTGTTCTTCGTTTCATGATCTAATTTAAAACCAATTTCAGATTTACTCGAGTTTATCGTCCGTGATAGATAGATTACTATAAGCATTCGATGTTCAATAATAATAATCTTGTTGAATATGTTTATATAACTTTTGCGTTTTACATTTTGTTAGAAAATTTGTACTAATGTCATTAAGAGCATTGGGAACTAAATCATTCATTCAAAATAAGTTATTCGTATTTCATGGAAAATTTGTGTAATTGGTTAAGAGACTTCTTTCATCTTTTTATCAACTTCAGTTTTTAGGGCCCCAACACAAACTAATAGTACAATTAAAGTTTTAACTTATATATGTATATATTATTTTGAAAAACTATATCCAGAAGCATAATTAATTTTGTTTCTACTCTTTTAATAATCAAAAGTGGGCTTTATAAATAATATATACTTTTGATTTTAGTTCCTCTCTTAATACATTTTTATTTCAAGTAATAATGTATATGCACAAATAAATTTGCTTGACTTTTATAACTCACATTTAATTAACCTATTTTAGCGGGATGAAACCGCCAGCGACATCACCAAGATGTTCGAGCCCACAATCCATGGCGTTGAAACCCTGCCCTCCGGTGGAGGAGGTGCTGAACAGTCAAACTCAAACTTGACTTTAGAGGCCAGGTCCCATGTACCCAACATACCAAATGCGAAGGAACCACAGCTGAATGTCAGCACTCCGCCCACAACCACTTCGACCATGTCTTCCTCATCAACCGCATCGAGGGATGCGCCCAATAGCAGCAATGACGTGACCATCGGTTCTGGTTCCGTTTCTCGAAAAACGAGCACGGCCTCGGAGTACACTTCGCTATCGATTGACTATATGCCTGACAGCAACATTACTCCTACTGGTCCGGAGCCACCGCTTGATGATAGCAAGGATAAGAAGCCTTGCTCCTTTGCTATAGCCAGAATGCAAAAGCTCTTGGAGTCGGCCGGCAATGGTGCTCCTCGCAGCCTGAATTTGCCATTGAATCGTCACTTGAAGATTCAGGAGGACTTAAAGCATACTAGAAGTCTCGACGATTTGACCGCAGTGAAAATAACCTTTGACATGCCCAACAAGGCCTCATTGGGAACTTCGGAAAACGCTCAGCCAGCCACAGAAGCGGAAGCGGAGAAGCCAAAAGATAAGTCCGCACAGGCAGTAGGCAACCAGGGAACCGGAGCGGCCAATACTCTAGAACAGTTAAAAATAGAACTGGAGAACATAACTCATGCCCACGCTTTTGCCTCTGCTGTAGTGGCCTCGATCAACAACAGAGCTCCTCACCAGGCTTCCCCAGCAATGTCCTCCCTTAAGGCCACTTCTGGACAACCACAGACACAAGAGGTAATTAATAATTACAAGAAGCAGGGGTATTCCCTTTTTCTTTTCTTCGCAAGTGTTACACTAAATTGGTACAACTCTTTAGCTATTAAGTCGTTTAATGAGATAACATTTAGCGAAATTGCATTTTACTTAAGTTTCAAATTTTTTTATTATCAAATACCCTGTACTAATTGTCATTTTGAAATATTTACATTCATGTTGAAAATGTTATAATAAATATCTTGTTTCCATTAGATAATCAAGTCAAGTAACGGAGCAGGAACTGCAGCACCCTCTGTGGGTCAGAATACTCCCACTGCAGCCTTAACATCCGCCAGGGGCTCAGGCTCATCCGTCTACAACTCACGTCGCACATCCATCGACAACAGCATGGGATCCGATGTGCACCTGCACACTGCCACTAATCTTGAGGGGACAGTGAGCAACTCGGATCCGACACCAACTGAGGCATCGGTTGGAATTACCATTGGCACGAGTCATGAGAAGCAACTTTCCAAGCAGCCCAGCTTGGAAAAACCATCCATTTTAACGAACAGCTCTGATCATCCGCAAAGAAATCCCAGCAATGGATCAATTAACCAAAATTCAATAGCGGATTTGGAAAAGAAATTGGCGGCCTTGCGAAATACGGAAAACACAGAAGAGGCAAGAAACCAATCGTTGTTTTACGGATATCCATTTTCATTTATTTCTAACATGCTTTTTCAGTCTGCATCAGCAACATTATCTGTAGTTCCGAAACAAGTTGAAGAGGTCGTTAACCCGAGCGCACGTAAAATTTCGCGTTTCAGTGTCAGTCGTGTGCAGGAGCAGAAAACTTCAACCGGAGTTGAGGAACCTGCTCAAGGTCAACTGAAGATCGACCTCCAAGTCGCTGGCCCTGGAGGCCAGGTTCAGACCAACAACTCCGTTCAGAACGGCAGCGTGGTCAACACTCCAACCGAAGTCATCAGCTCTCCCATTCAAAATGCTATTAACGGAATTCAGTTGATATATCAACAGCCCCAGCAGATTAACCAGTTGCCAGGTGGAACCTCAACTACTACAAGTGGAGCAGGGGCTCAGTGCATTGTGGTACCTCAAGTTGTTAATCATAACGGCACCCCCGTGCAACAGCTATCTAACCTACAACCACAGCAGCAGAGTGTACATCCAAATATGACACAACAGCCACAGCAGACGCCACTTAATGGGCTCCCTTCTATGGCTAACACTCTTCAGCAGCAGCCGCAACAACAATCCTTACCGATGCAGACGATTCAGTCGCAGCAGCAGCAGAACCAAATGCCTATCATCTCGCAGCAGCAGCAGCAGATCCTGATGCCGCAGCAACAGGGATCCCAGCAAGGATCACAGCAATTTAATTTGCCTGGCACACAACAGCACCAATTCATGCAGTCGCAGCCCAACCAACTTCACACACTTCCACCCCAGGTGGTGAGCATGGCTCAGGGAAATCTCCCGCATCAGCTTCCACCTATGCAGACTATGGGTGCCCAACAGCAAATGATCTCGCAACAACAGCATCAGTTGCAGATGCAATCGCACATGCACCAACAAAACGTGCCTGGAATGTACAACCAGCAGACTGGAGCTCGTGTGGCAGCACCCCAAAATTTTGCAGGTGCTGTTCCAAATCATATGTTGCAGCAGTCCCCTTTGATGGCGTCTCAGCAGCCAGCACAGCCCATGCAACACGTTATGCAGCCGATTTTTAATGCCACGTCTGGTGAAGGTAAACAAATCAATTAAATGTATTTATTTATATTTATTTTTTGAACCATTGTCAGTACCATATTACTTACATATGCGATCTCTACAATTTTTGTATTCTTTGTTACAGTTACCGAAGAGCCTGTATCTTTAGCAGCTACGCATCCGCATCTGCTACCGAGCGATATTCAATCCGTAAGAACAACTAAAAAGCCATATTATTTTAAATTAAAAAACACAACTGTTCTTTCTTTAGGATATAAAGCACAATTTAGACTCATTAGTGAACCAATTGTGCAATACGCGCTTGGGTACCAACCAACACCAACGGCTGTTGCTCTTGCGTCAGAGACAACTCATCGAAGAGGACGAGCTGCGGCTTAAACATTATGTGGAATATGAAAAGTTTCAAAAGGCACTGCGCCAATGTATGTTCTGCTTATGATCCTATCAGAAAAATATGAAAACTTTATTTTTTTCAGCTATTAGCACAAACGTTCCAGCTAATGCAGCTTACTATTCTGCGGCTGCCGCACAGCTTCCAACCAATTTGGCAGCTCCAGCAGCTCCGTCCTCATCGAATCCGACGTCCACTAGCTCTGCAAACACATAACTACTCTAAATGTTTTGCTTCATGCACTTTTGACAAGCCATACTAACAGCTCTACTCTATGTTCTCGGCAATATAATTGGCTCGAGCGGGAGGACGTGGATCTGGAGGTAGATTTTAAGTAAAAAGTTGTCGAATGTTACGGGGTTGTCTGTAAATATTAGTCAAACGCTTCTTGTTGATATGCCATTGTTTTATATTTCTCTTTCTGTTTCACTTTTTATTTAAAATTCCTAATTTCCTATCTTGGCTTTCGTTTATTTGTTTAAAATAAATATTAAATTTTTGTATGAACTTTTTAAGGAAATTGTACATTTTATTAGTAAAAGAAACTGTAAATAAACATTTCGATAATGTAATAATATATCAATGCATATAGGAATATTATATATAGCCATCATTTATTCAAAGTGATGTATACATACTGCATAGTTACTAAATAAATAACTTATTACCGACAAATTTTCTTATATTTACTTTTTATGGAGCATATTAAATGTGCGCAGGGAGTCATCGGAAAAAAAATTAATTTTAAAAAGCTGGCAGACTAAATTTATAATGGGCACCTGTTAGTTTTAACGGATACAATAGCCTGCTATTTTGTTTAAATACCACAGATAAAAACACGTTTAACAGATTGTTAGCACAGCAATAGAAATTTGAAAGAAATAAAAAAAATTAAATATGTATATGAAAACATTTGTTAAGTGTGGGCGTGGCAGCGTTGAACGTTTTGTGTTTAGATAAAAACAATGTTTTCAAAAGAGTGGGCGTAGCGAACTTGGGCTTAATCTTAATTTAACTTTATAGCTTTAATAGTTCCTGAGATCACAGATAGATGTACTGTCTAGAGGTAGCTTTAACAACTTCTTGTAGGAAACTCGCCTAAATTGACACCTCATTTTTTAAATTGAAGAGGCTGATATTAAAAACTTTAGATCTACCGCTTTGAGAAAACTCTTTGGAATCTGCATGCCTATTCTTAGCTTTCTATCTTATAGTTTCCGAGATCTCGCCGTTATTACGGAGGGACATGTCCAGATAAACTCAGGGCTTTTGGAAATAATCAAGGCACAAGATTCACCCTTTGTCGCCATATTTAATTGATTTTCGTTCCTTCCAACCTTCGTTCCTGATAATTGCCGTATAGTCATATGAACTCTATGTTGAGAACAGGCAATATTTAAAAGTTACTAATTGAAATTTTAATTTTTTTATTCTCAGTTATTTTCTGATTAAACAGATAATTATGAAAACATCAAAAATCGTTAACCAACATTGGGCCTGGAACTGTTCCTTAGTGCTTCGATTGCTTGATAGTTTAGAAGCCAGAAGGGCTGCTGGTCCAAGGGCAGCTGTCTCAATCTATTCACCCATTCCCTATCACCTCGGGCATCGATGGGAAGTCGGCTGTCATCTGGGGCAGTTGAAGTGGGAAATCCTACAGGGCTGGGCGAAGTTGAGAACTTATGCGGAGTGGAGGGATAAACCAGCGGAACTCCTATGGGCGGCCTTTGGGGTGCTCCATAAGGAAGGTTGATAATTTTCTTTTGCGAAAAATTTGGGTCTATGGATCCTGTACCTCCATTGAAATTCTCCACAGCTGTATTCTTAGTTTGGAAGTATTTGTCCTTCTGACTTAGTCCACCTGGAGGTCTTAAGCCAGCAAAAGACGGTCTTTGAGCCTGCGTAATTTTAAGTATAGCGATAGTGATAATGGGTAATAGGCAAACAAATTTTAACATGTTGCCAAACGAAATTAAACTTTTTCTTTTACAATACTTCTGGTGGACGCTAGTGATGCTGACTTGTGGAGTCTTGATCAGCAACTGTGGTACGGAAATGTGTGACTTAATTTAAATAAGTTTCACCCCTGTTGTTTTTTTAAGCTCTTTTTACAACACCTTTCTACCCCTGTTATTTTAAAACTGTAATAACTTTTAATTTGTTTTAAAGCAAATTCTTTAACAGATTGTCACGTTCCATATTAATTTTTATTTGTCTACTTTTGGCTAGATAAATATTCTAGAAGTCCCAGACTTATACAATTTGTGTAAAATTTAAGTTTTCAAATATATTTGAAGCACAACCAACATAGTTTGCAGTACAAAAATATTCAACCAAAAACAGCCTAAACACCTCGGAAGTGTGTTCATTATTTAACACCATACCAATATTAAAAGCTCTGCTCAATCTCAGTGAAGTAACCACTTAGTGCAAGTAACAGGTATTCCATAGTCCCAACTCTACTTTATTTGAACACAACTGTAGGAAATATTTACGTTACTCGTAGAGTAAAAAGGTATACTAGATTCGTTGAAAAGTTTGTAACAGGCAGAAGGAAGCGTTTCCGACCATATAAAGTATAAATATTCTTGATCAGGATCAATAGCCGAGTCGAACTGGCCATGTCCGTCTGTCCGTATGAACGCCTCGATCTCAGGAACTACAAAAGCTAGAATGTTGAGATTAAGCGTCCAGCTTCCAGAGACATAGACGCAGCGCAAGTTTATTTCCAAATGTTGCCACGCCCACAAACCGCACAAAACTTCCACGGCCACACTCTTGAAAAATTTGATATTTTTATTAGTCTTGTAAATTCCTATCGATTTACCGCCCACTCTACCGCCTGCAAGCCGCCCAAAACTGTCACGCCCACACTTTTGATCAATTTTTTTTTCATTTCTTAATTTTATTCGTAATTTTTTGCCGATATTCCAGAAAATTATGATATTTCTTATTCGCACTTTAACTAGCTGAGTAAAGGGTATCTAATAGTAGGGGAACTCGACTATAGCATTCTATCTTGTTTTTATATCCTAATGAATCTCAAATTCAAAGAAAACTGTTAAATGTAATTACGTGTTTCTATGCGCACAAAGTACTGTATTTGCATCCAAATTAGAATTTTATGTACATTTTACTGTGGCATCCAAGTTGTGGAAGTGGGTAGCTTTATGCGTCTTGAGGAGCTTGCCAAAATGTTTTAAACATAAGTCCAATAGTGAGGTATTTCTGCAATTTTTCTTTTGAATTTGAGGTGTACAAAAAATTATTTCGATGATTATATGTGCTATTGTTATGTGTAATTGTCTTGAATTTAATAATTAGCAATTTCCATTCATTGCGGCTTAAAGGATATTGTTGAATATTCATTGGGATATTTTATCGAGATACTGAAAGCATAAAAAAGGCTCTTTGTTTTGTTATCTACTTCTATACTATAATATAGTTACGCCGAAAACTATGCATTGCTAATTTGGCAATAAAAAAGCTTTAATAAACTTAAATTTTAAAACTTGTTCGTTTATTTTTTAAATATTTCCAAATCCTAGATTAAACTACAATTTTTGTATTCGCATAAATAAATTGTTAATATTGTATTTACTAAGTCGCAATTTAAATACATCTATCATTTAGTTTTTTTTTATAAAAAGTTGGCCTAAAAAAAAAACGATGTCCTATAAAGTTTAAGCAGAACAAAAAAAGATGTTTTGATTATAGTTTATCTTATATTGCTTCACATTTGGCAGCTTGAACAGGCTGTAGATGTGTAGGCATAACAGATTTTAAATTAAATTTATAGTTCGTATTTTAATTTATATATATCGTCTGGGGATCTTTACTCGATTTTCTGAGGGCACTTTATGCGAGAGGTGATTTCCTAGATGCATAGTTTTGAGATTTAAAAAACTCATTCAATGTATCTAGTGCTCATACACTATATACACGGCATTACTGATAGCTCTAACGATTTTACTTTGCGCTACTCTTATTTTTTAAAGGATTATAAACATTTTGCCGTAGGCTTGCAAGGCATACTTCCAAATCGGTCTCAGTGTGGATTTTTAAATTCTAACCTTTTTGTACAACGAGAGTTTGTTTCTGAGAAAGAAGCCAGAACATACTTGCAGCCTTCGAAAGTACAGACTGCTTGATTATCGTTGTATGCCCCAGAAAAGTAAGTCAGTTTTGGTGAATGTAACACAAGCACATTTGCTGCAATTGCTGGATATAATCCACACGACAGTCCAATTTTCAGATTGGATCTCACTCCAGTAGGACCAAGGTTGCCACGTCTATGCATCGAATCCTACCCATTACGTCAGTGGAATCGGATTATGTTGCGCTGAGGATATTGCCATTGTCAACTTCCATACAGATCTAAGAGTCTTCCACGTTGGGTTAGATCGTCTTACGCCATTTAGTTTCTGTAGTTTATAAGGGTACACTTTAAGAGTGAAAAGTGCGGATGCTTCAAGTAGATAACATGGAACCTCTACGTCCGCAGTCAGCATAATAGTTTCTAAAGCACAGTCGCTTTACTAATTGAACACAGAATTATGTGTAAATATACTTTATTTTAGCTTTCAATCTTCATTTTAAGACACTCGATTATCGGGAATGCTTGGCCAAAAAGTCAAGGCTAACTTTACATCTTTGCGCGTACTAAGTATACAAATATGTTGTTTATCTATGATTTTCTACAACGTGTTTGCCCAAAGCGTGATCGCGAATACAATTTATTTTATGCTTTGAACAGTATGTGGAAATTAATAATACAGAATGTCGGAACATCCGGGAACAAGAAACAATAACAAAAGTGAAAAGAATACATTAGGGTTAGGCGGTGATAGCCATGGTGTCCTTGATCTCATTACCCCACTCGCGGGCCATGATCATGATTTCGTTCATGCTCAGTTTGGGTCCGATCAGGGGGTTTAGCTGCGTCATGTAGCAGCACAGCCAGCTGCAAGGAAAAAGGTCATTGATAAACATTTTCAAAGGAAGTACTGGGATAGGCCAGCTGAACCAAGCGTTTAGATGCATGTGTATGCATATCTACTTACAACAGCCAGCATGTTGCTGCAGTGAGCATCAGGCAGCATTGAGTCACTCTGCAAAATAGTTAAATTAGTTGGTTCTACAGCTACTAAAGTTGGGTAAACAGCTTACCCTCTGTTGGGCCCTCGGGCGAAGAAGGGGCAGATGATGCCAATGAAGGCCCAAATGCTGGTGATTACGATTGGTGCCACCCACTCGGAAACCATTTTGCAGGCTCAAAGGATCGACGCAAAGTGCTTCGTGCAAAATAAAAATAAAAAGGTGGACAATGCGATCACGGAACTTTTTCTCGAGCAACGAATATCACATGACGAACATGTCCCATGCAGCAGTGGGACCGTGGGCGACTATCGCTTGAATCCGATGGTACGAAATGGTCTCCCTGGACCGCCTTTCTTTGGCTTCTTTTTCCCGATATTTTTGTATATTTACAAGCGAAAATTTCATTAGCTACAAATCATTTTTTACTTATCAGATTTAAAAAAGGTACAATATCAATAAATTCAATATAATATAATAAACTTTGTTCCATGAAATTATGTTAAACATTATAAAATAATGTTATTTTATTCAATTCAAGTAATTTTTGTAATATTAAACTTTATTAAACGAATAATACAAATTGTCATCATACCGACATTAGGTAACACGATTAACATAATTCTTTTTTTCTAGGTTGATAAAAGCATTATTTGTAAGCAATTAAAGTTAAACATTTAACAATTTAACTGCACGGGAAACACCCTACATTTTTGGTGCGATAGCTATTCGTGTCTCGCGAAACCCCATCTCTAAAAAAGTGAGAATGGCAAATTGTTAAGAAGAAGCATTCTAACCTTACAGCATTGATTTTACGCCAGCGTATTTTGCGAAAAAGTTTGTAAAAATGTTCCAAAACAGCGCTGCCCGCCTCCTGGTCCCCGCTATTCGTAGCGCCATGCAGAGCCGTTGCCAGTCGGTCGTCTCCGGACCTCCGACTCAGCACGTCTCCACCGCCGTAAGTTTGAGCTAGTTGCATAACGAGGATGTGATTCTCAAAGCGAAAAACTAATCCTTCAATTGCTATTTGCATTACAGGAGAAGTTGATCCTCGGCGGCGGCATGTGCGCTGCATCCCTGTTCATTCCCGCCTGGGTGCTTTACCACATCCGGGACTACAAGGGCGACAAGTAATCTGCATATGATACCACACATAGTTAATACCCTGTAAAGTAAAGAGCATCAATACATAAATAGTGCCCCTGCTAAAGGGAAATAAACTATAACGCATTGGGCCACAAACTGATTTTATTATTTATCGCTGATCATGATGTAACTAAAAGTGTGCCTTACTTAAAGCAGCAGCTTCTCAAAAACAATATACTCAAGGCTGACTGATATATGGTATTACCTTTGTAACTCAGTACGACAGGGCTTAAGTCCTTAGAGTGTTATATTCCGAACCCTGCACAATGAAACCCGTTCAGCTCATTAACTTTAAATCCTTAATCAAATTTATGTACGTTAACCATAGCCATTACTTGTAGATTAAGGGGGTCTACTAGATTCGTCGAAATGTATGACACATGTAAAGGATATACATTCTTGACCAGGATCACTAGCCGAGTCGAATGAGTCCGTATGAATGTCGAGATGTTGGGGATATTATATTATTATTAGGTTTTCAGAGGAAGAACAGACCCTCGCAAAGTCAATTAGGTCAGCAGCATTTCGTGTGTATTTGTTTATATATTTTCACTTGAAGCATAATTTGAAAGAGGGCTACAAATGATTTAAATGGGCATACAAATGCTTTAAACGAGCTTATTAGATATAATCATAGATGCGGTTTATTTTTTCTGCGAGTCCTTGCCGTCGCCCTTTTTGTCCTTGTCCTTGTTGAGTGAACCGACAGCATCGCGCACCGCCTCTGATTGGGGATCAACACCAGGCAGATTCTCCAGCACGCTCTGCAGGAAGGCCGGGTCACCGATCACCTCCGAGTAGTCCTCGTCCACGTCCATGGGGGCGTTTGTCTCGTCCGTCTTTGGGCGCTTTGCTTGCTGGGTAACAGTGTCGTCGGGAGCATCCTGCATGGACATCTGCATAGCGAAGGCAATCTGTTCCTCCTCAGTCATGTTAGCAAAGTCGGGCAAGTTGTCCTCGGGTGTTTCGGTGGACAGGGCCAGGGCACGCTGCAGCATGGCCTCCTCAGTGTTGGCCTCATTGTCTGCTCCGGCACTTTCTTCGTTTCCAGGTCCAGATCCCGAAACGCCGCCTCCACCACCAGCATCGCCACCAGTCGGTGGAGCCCCATCGGGATTGGCGCGACGTTGCTCGCTCTCCTGGCGCTGCCGTTGCTCCTCCATAGACACACGCAAGGCAAGGGCCAGTTCGGGGTCCTCGTTGGGATCTACACCAAATTCGAAGACGTTTCCGCCCAGGCCAGCTCCGCCCATGCCGTCTTCGCCCTGGATGATGGGTGACGACAACAAGGCATCCGATAAAGCGGATCCCCGAGGCACGCTGACCAAATGGGAACCAGTGCCGTCCTTGCCGTTCAGCGCGTTGATAAATGCGGTGAGAGTCTCGTTGTTGTTGCCATGATCGCCGAAGCTAACTATGTCTACGTTGACCTTCTCCTTCTTGAGGCGCTTGGCCTGCTTCACTAGATCGCCCTCCTCGTGATTGATGGGAGAACCCACAAAGACCACGATGCGCATCTTGTGGTTCTTGCCCTGGCGATGCTTCAGAACAAGATGGGCAATTCGGATTCCGGTCAGGAGGTTTATCTCGCCCTTTGGCTGAACCAGATGCATCTTTGAGAAAATCCGGCCTACATCGCTAGTAAGAGTGGCCAGCACTTCAACGGTGCTGAGGGATAAACAAGGACATAATGAATATTTGGCATAGCCACAGACAGCTCCACACTCACTTGGACAGAGTCATCAGACCCACATTGTTCTCGGGATTGGAACGCAGCTTGGTCAAACAGACCAGATTGATGCCATCCTTCTGGACGTTGAGACGAGTGGGAAAGTAATCTCCGTTGCGCTGGTAGTCGCTGTTATCAAAGCTGGAAAAGTGGGAATTATGAGTGTCGGGCCGTGTGCCATCGCAAGCAGTACGTAATAACTTGCAAATCCTCTTCGTATTGGTCAAAAAACAATAATTTACCATATCATTGTACTCTCCAGAACCATTTTCGTATTTTTGCTTGTCACTTTGCCACTGAACTGTAATTCCAGGGTTGCCAAGTGATGTGTTGTTTGAGCAATCGGTATTAAAATGTCTGCTTTGTATGACCGTTCGGGTCTTGCAGGATTTTTGTTCCATTCTATTGAATTACATTTTTTTCGTTATTCTACACCAAACCTTTATGTAAAGTCAATTTCCCTCGCTTAAATTAACTTACATTTTGTGACATATTTAAAAAAGTTTATTTTATTCACTGAAGCCGAAAAGTACACATAATCAGAACATTAAAAAAAGCAATAATGTTAAAGCGAAGAAAATTATATATACAATCTCAGCAATGAATATTACACTAAATCCAATCATTAAGCTCATAATGCCACCAGTTGACGCTGGAAAAGATGAAGGAAAGATAGAAGGGTTTAGTCAGCTGTCTCAAAAATCAGATTACCGATAGTCTGTGAACAATCTCAAGATGAAATTTGTATAATATGTTTTTATTGATTTTGGATTATCAATAAGCAGTTCGTGTTGAAACTCCCTTCGAGTTAAAACATCTGGACGTTTAGACGATCAGACGATCAGACGAACGGACATCCCTGATCGACTCGGATAGTGAGCCTCATGATGAATATTACTCTATACTGAGATCTAAATAACATAAAAGATATCATACCCATATATTCAGTTGGTCCGGTATACGAAGTCATTACACTACTTCTGAAGTAGTTGTCGGTATGAAAGAAGTTTACTACCGCCAAGTTTTGGCGTATGTAATCACTTGACATATTCATTAAGTGGTTGGTCTGTGCCTTGACGTCCTTTTGGCTAAATGGAGTGGAAAACGCATCGGGAAAGAAAATTAAATCGTGGCAGCTTGTCAGGCAAAGCTCCTTGCACTCTGAGCTCTGTAGGTCAAAGATCTGGGACTCTGCATGATTCAGACATTCAAAGTGGAACACATCGCACACTGAGGCGTTGGGATAAATTATTGGTAAGTAATAGGGAATGCAACTGCAGAGTCTCAGAAAAAACTTCGAGTCGCACTCTGCCTCGCAATTTCGGCGCGTATAGTAGCGGTAAAAGAGTAATTCCTGTTCATCACTAAAAATACATTGGCGTTTCGTCCTGTGAATATTTCTTATAGAAGGTATAGCTTCAACGTTTCTAGCTATGATGCGAAAACTCGTCTGATGCCCAATCATCACAGGTAGTCCCGACTCCTTCATGCGCGGCTGGTCTATCGGATTATACAGGAGTACCTGAAAAGTTAAGTATAAATCAACTGGCCAAAACATAAACTGGCCGTATAACACAACTTACTTTAAAGCCTTGACCGTTTGTGGAGGAGCAGAAATAGTCGTCGACGTGACCGTTGAGAACAATTTGCAGACCCATCGAGGCACCAACTCCTACTCCTGGACGGGGATAATAACTTGAGGGTAGTCTTTGCGGATAGCCTGATATTGGATCCCAGTCTACGGCGATATCTGCAAACCTGTCGGACGATGTGTAGTCCCGAATATAGGGTGATCTTTAAATGGATAAATGGGTAGGTTTTTTTGTTGATTTGGCCTTCACTGATTCGCTGAACCTTACTTGAACTTATAAAGATAATACGGATGCAAAATATTAAATATGCAACACAATCCTTCATCCACGAAGGTCTCTCTGAAGATGTCAGTGCAGGGTATTCTTTGTTGATGAAATATGCAGGATACTATCAGGTCTGAACACTTCTCAGAAACATCCAATATGAAATTAGGAAATGTTTCATTTCTGTGGTGATTATCCATGTATTGCGAGTAATTTGTTTCCTTATAACAGGTCTTTTGGAGCATGGCGTATCCTACGGATCCTCTAATATCGTTTATGAATCAATTGGGTATCCGTATGAACTAAATAATGTGTACTTACGGCATTAAATGCTCCACTTTCGACTTTTTAGCCTGGTTCATATTGCAAACCGTAATTGCCGGAAACGGAATTTGATCAATGGGAGTCATTTTAGAGCTAACTTTGAAAAGATCAAAATGTATTGACATCTATAAAAATAATATGTTACAATTTATTTACTTCCAATAATAACAGGTGTGCTGTCCCACTTATTATAAATTCCAACCGCCAAGTTTACAGCCACAGAAAGAACCAATGTGAAAATAATGACGAAGTAAAGCTTTATCCACCAAGAATAATTATTGTCGCTAATAACGTATTTAACCATTTCCATTGATGTACACCTCAGGAAACTGTTCCCCCTTCTTCGGCTAACACTCCATATTTTTCCATGTTTTTGTTTTATCAAGCGCATGTTCTGGCTGTTTGAAGAATTGTACGAATACTGTTCACCTGAGTACTTCTAATTACTTCAGAGTGACTGCAAAAGGGTTACTTGTAATGTGGTCTTAATTTACTGTAGTAATTGTTTTTTTATATATTTTGAAAGTCCATTAAAGCCCTACTGCTACACAAAGAAAATGTCTAGGTAAATTCTATAATCACATAAATATCATATTTACACACGCGGAACCATTTATGTATATATTGAGATAATTTGAATTGAATGTTTCATTTTAACTCAAAACGATAATATAATAAATAAATGCTTTTATAAAGTTGCAACTACGTTATAATTAACAGCTCTCTCTTTATTCACAGAATTTAATTTGAGCAGGTAAAATATCTAACCTATTTTTTCGTGTGGAGTTACGCTGCTCATGTCATTAATGTTGCGTCATTTGTAAGAATAATTAAACATATATGTACTTAATTATGTACCCTTTAACACTAATTAAATAAAACGCTGGATAGAAATAAATCCTATCGATAAGTGAATTCCTTTCTAAGGTTTGATAAAATAGTGATTAGCAGTGTAAAAACTTGTATTTCGTTTAAATTATGCTTATTGTTATTGTTACCTTACACAACAATGACCGTAACTCGTAGAGTAAAAGGGTATACTAGATTCGTTGAAAAGTATGTAGTACCTAAAAACATTAAGCCATTAAGACAAATTATAAAATTTATGCGTCGCACTCCCACTAGCTGAGTAACGGGTATCTGATAACCGCGATTCGCTGCACTTGACTTCACTTGTTTTCGATTTC